TCAAATTTATCGCCGCCTCCCTCGGCACATCGACGGTGAAGTTTCGGGCCCTCCTTGATATTGGTGCCACTGGCAACTTCATCACCGAAGCCTGTGTTCGCAAAGCCGGCCTCTCTTCCACCGACTATGACTCCCCGATCACCATCCGACTAGTGGATAAGGACTCGGCCATCGTTGTCGATCACACTGTCTCTGAGACCCTCATGACTGCCGGTCCGCTTCGCAGCCAGGTCTCCTTCGATGTCATGCACCTCATGTCTGACATCGTCTTGGGGACTCCATGGCTTGACCGTTTCATGCCCTACTCCTTCCACCTCTCCTTCGTTTGACTCACCCACCCTCTTGACTCTCCTCTTGATATCCCTTATTTTCTCCCCCTTTCTTTCACTCCTTGTCGTGATTCACGCCCTCACAGTATGGCGCCAGTACCTCGACGGGCAATACTTCACCATCCACACTGACAACACCATCGTTTCTTCCATCCTCACTAAGAAAGACATCACCCCACGCCAAGCTCGATGGCTCGACTTCCTTGCCCAATTCACATTCACCATTTGCCATACCCCCGACAAAAGCAACCACGTTGTTGATGCCCTCTCTCGACGACCCGACCACAAGCCCCCCGAGAAAGTCTACGCCGCCATGAACCATATCCAGCTTCTCCCATCACTCCATCACCGATACACCCAAGGCTACCTCTCTTGCCCAGACTTCGCCGCAATTTACAACAAGCTCCGCGATTTTGACCCAGTCCTCGACTACTCCCTCCACGACAACCTCCTCTACATCGGCACCAAAGGCACTCGCCGACTGTGCATCCCTGGCACACGTGGTCTTCGTACCCAGCTCTTGGTCGAGCACCACGACGCCAAGACCGCAGGTCGCCTCGGTTTCCAGAAAAACTTTGACACCATCTCCCGCTACTTCTATTGGCCTTCTCTACTCGCCGACGTCAAAACATACATTCGCTCATGTCCCACGTGTCAGGTTGTCAATCCCTCGAACCGGGCCAAACCCGGCAAGCTCCAATCGTTGCCCATCCCCACTCACCGGTGGCAGTCCATTTCCATGGACTTCGTGAGCGGTCTAGACCGACCGCGGGCATGATTGCATCTACGTCATTGTCTGCCGCCACGTGTCCATTTCATTCCTTGCACCACTTTGCACACCGCCAAAGACATCGCCTTACTCTTCTTCGACCATGTTGCACGCCACCACGGCCTCCCCGAGAATATCATCAGCGACCGAGATCCCCGTTTCCTTTCACAGTTATGGAAACAACTCTTCAACGCCTACGGAACTACACTCAAGTATAGCATTGCATTCCACCCACAGACCGATGGACAAACCGAGAAGATGAACGATACTCTCCAAAGAATCAAACGAAAGTACTGTCATCCACATCAACACGACTGGGATTAGTTGCTCACTGTCGGGGAGATCGCCTATAACAACACTGTTTGTCCTTCCACTGGCATGTCTCCATTCTACCTTGACCTTGGCTACCATCCGCGCTTGCCCTCTGATTTCCTGCTTCCCTCGCAATTCAACCCCTCCACACCCTGCCCTTCCCTCAATGAATGGGTAACAACAACCAATCGACTCCTCGGAGAAGCAACATAAGCCCTCGAAAGAACACAACAACAAACAAACAAGATCAACAAACACAGACGAGACTTGCAATTCAAAGTAGGGGAAAAAGTCTGGCTCTCCACCAAACGCTTTGAACCTGAACATGGATTGTCAAAGAAACTATCGAACAAACGGCTCTCACCCTTCCCCATCATTGAAAAAACCTCCGACGTCAACTACAAACTCCAACTCCCCCCCGACATGAGCTGCCTCCACCCAGTCTTCCACGTCGAATACTTGAAAGAATATCATGAATCCCCACCCCAATCCGCTGACCGCCCATATCCTAGACCTCCACCTATCATGTTCCCCACAGGCCCTAAATTCGTTGTTGAAGCAATCATAGGTCGACGACTTACTCAGGTATCTGACCACCCGGAACCAATCACTGAATACAAAGTCAAATGGACCGGGTACCGCGACGAAGAATCTACATTGGAACCTCTCTCAAATCACTGACACCCACGTAACTACAACCCCCTTGCCCTCGCCTAGCCTTGTCCCATCTGTCCTCTCCACTACCTTGTCTCTCTTGTCCAATGCTTATGAACCTGCGTGACACCGGCGATAAAGGATCTAATGGCAAGCGCACGAGGACGATGGCCTGCTGCCTCACTGTTCATGGAGATTATGCAGCTGGTTTGGCCACCATGCTGTTTCATCGGTCGGGCATCCCGACTTGCGGACTTACTGGAGCAGCAACTTGTGACATGGATCTTTGCATCAGTCTGCGACTTCCTTGCTTCCAGATCAGACCTCATTGCAGTTCGTGTACCGGATGCACCCTAGCACTTGGACTTTGGACATTTGAACTACTGTTACGCTTCTTGGACTTCTACCTGTCGCAGCCGTTGAAGACCGCTTCTACCACCTACTCCAAGACCTGATCAAGACCGCTGCAGATCCCGTTTCAAGACACTTGGACACTTTGTTCCTACATGAGATTCTGCTTCCGACTCCTTCGGACACACCAGCCCTTGCCTCCTGAACAAACATTTTCATTTTTATTTTTTTTCCTGACTTTGACAACCCTGTAGAACATCATTAGCAGATCCCTGTTTCCCTGACCATTGTTCACCTTACCCACTAGAACATCAATAGAAATTCCCTGTTCCCCTGACCATTGTTTCCCTTACCCACTAGAACATCAATAGAAATTCCCTGTTTTCGTGAACATCGTTTCCCGTACCCAATAGAACATCAATAGAAATCCCCTGTTCCCTGAACGTTGCTCAGCTTCCCCTATAGACCCACCCAGTTACATCACACCTTCATCTGTGCAGAACACCAGACAGAATACCCTGCGACTTGCATCACTCCCCTTTTCCTTCTCCGACCAGTGATCGGCCCCGTTCCGTCCTTCACAGCTCCTTTTGTTTCCTTGGTTTTTGGCAGCCGGGACATTGCCTTTCAGAGGGAGGGGATAGTGTTACGGACTTCGCCAGGGCTCGATCCCTGGTCTATCTTTTTGCTGTTTCTGCTGCATCCCGTCTTCAGCCTGGCACCCTTTTATCCAAGCCCCTCCTTTGGTACCGTCGGATTTTGGACAACTGGCGCCATGCTGCAATTCGGGCGCCACTTTCAAATACCGCATTTTTCAGTTCTGCCCTCGGGGCTTTTGCGGAAATGCCCCTGGTACCGTACGTGTCACCAGTACTTATAACGGCTCCCCGTACAATACGGGGACCAGTCTTGGACCAGTTTTCAGCTGCTGTACTCGTACTCAGTGTGACTTGCCCCTGTTTCGGCATTGGAATCCAAGACTTCGACTTTGTGTCTTTGCCACTGTGTCTGCCTCCGTCGAGTCCCTCAGTCGTGTCGAGTGAGTGAGTGTGTGTGTGTGCTCTCACTCTCTCCCTCTCTCTCCTCTCCCTCGGCTCTCCCTGTCTCCCTCAGCCTCGCACTCGTCACACACACCCAGGCCGACCAGCACTCAGACAGGCATGCACACACACACAGACTTAGAAAACTCAGCGGAATGTGGGAATCTCAGCAAGGCATCCATAGCGAACATGACAACACACGCACACACACACACACACACACACACACACACACACACACACACACACACACACACACACACAGTCGGGGCTCTGCCGTAGCCACTGCCTCCAAAAGAAACACGACTATCCAAATACCAAAAATGAAAGCTAACATCGTTATGGTGGCATTCCGCCGAATTTCAGCCATGCCCATCGTGAGATGCTGCAACACCAGAGCCATAGTGTTGCGACAGCAGGATCTCAACGCACAAACTTCCCCGAGTGTTTGTCAGAATTTGGCGTTTTCAGTGGCTACTGAGTTCCGGACCTGAAACCCCTAAGCCACGTCTAGAATATGTCCTTCCAGACTTGCCGATAGGGATTGCTTGTCAGTGAGACCTGGCAGGCCTAGGGGAAGTAGTAACTCATCCAACGCGGTGAACAGCCGAGAGGCACCATTACATTTCAGAAATTCATTCATTCATAAACCTTAGAAGCGGAGGGAACTGAGCTGCACAATTTTGGGAGTGCTAGAAGCAGGGAGAGAGAGTGGAGCCATAGCCAACTTGTTCTCACACTAGAAAGCGTCTTTTTTCAATTATGTTTGATGCCTTGCCATCAGGGAATCCTGGCACCCAGTTGTACATAAGACATTCTCACTTTCTCCAATGATCAGATTCATTAGAGAATGTATAATTAATCTTAATGTTGAGTGAAAGTTCCCAATCAAGTGTGCTTTCTTATCCTTTTTGTCAACAACATTGTTTCATTCATCTGGTTTCATCATGTGGATTCGAACTTGGGTCTATATTTCGAATGCTCGTAGGTGTACCAACTGAGCTATGCTCGTTTTTCTTTCTTTCAGTTCTGTTTCCTTTTTGTGGGCGGTGAACCCACACCCTTTCAGATTGGAGCCTGGGTGTGATCAGGTTCTGTTTTGGATGGTCTTGCAAATTCATAACATATGGTGAACAGGTCAGACGGCTGGCATAGCCAGGGTCACTGCTGCAAATCAGGTATAGATTGTCCCATAAGTTCCATAACCACACTGAGGGGTAGTGCAATCGCTGAGAAATGGTAAACAGGTCAGACTACTTACTTCGGGTCCCAAGACAGCCAGGCAACACCCTCTCTTGTACTCGTGCTTGCCGGTAATAAGCAACCGGACTGACGCCCCCCAGAATAGGAGGGGGCTGTGTTGTTTTGAAAAATGAAAATAAAAAAATCAGACCTGCAAACCATTACCAAATCAAATAATACATCCACTACACTTGTTGAGGACTACGTCACGATGCCTCATGGGCGTGACATGCATAGATGGATGAAGTGGTGTGCCAGGACGAGAGGAATGAGTGGGCTAGAGGACTGCGCTTAACCACTAACCATGATAGTGTTGGAATTGATTAGTTTTGACATAGCCTCCACGTCTGCTCGGAAGCCTGCATCCACAGCTGCCATACGCACTCGGACAGAGAAGTACTGGCCAGCTTTATGATAGGCTGCATGTGCTGATACCGGAATAACACTGGCAAGATAAGGAGCAGCGAACATACCAGATCAGACGCAGCACGGCAGCAGGCCCAAGGGGACACCCCAGTGCAGTGCAGCACAGCTCATAACATATAATGCTCAAATACAACACACAGTCGTGCATGACAGCAGTGACCATTACAGCACAGCTACATGCGAAGGAGAGAAAACATTCAAAACGCACACATCTCAAATTCTCAATACTTTCAGCAACAACCCCGAACAGATCACCTTGTACTCATGGGTTCAAGGCCCATGGGCTGTGCCATTGAAAACAGAGATGGGAAAAAAAATGTTTAAAAAACGATCACCAGAGAGTCTGCAACAACAGAGCTCATAGCTCCGCAAGAGCAATTGCATAGACCAAAACAGATGAGACAAGTGCACACACCAAACAAGACAGGATTACTGCAGCACAGCTCCAGGCACAGACCAAACCATCACAAGCCACAACGGACAAAGGGTTAGGCCCCGTCCTTTCTGTCAGAGTGCAAGTACTGAGACCATCCAGTGCAGAATGACCACCACTCTTCAAATAACCCCTCTGCATCTGACTGGAAGCCCCACCAACATCTTACTCTCTATTGTGCACCCTTGCAGGTTATCTCTTCATCATCTTCTTCTTCTTCTTCTTCTTCTTCTTCCTTCTCCTGATCAAGCCCCTCACAACCATGGATGCAAGATTTCCAAACACACAGATCTCTCAGTTCATCACTGTTTCCCTTCCTCTCTGATGTAAAACGACAAATCTGATGCCACACCTCATCCCAGCACACGGAAAAGACAAAAGTTGAAAGACCTTCGTTGTCTTCTTTTTACGTATATCTTCCTCTTCCTATTCCTTTTCTTCTTCTCCAGCTTCTTCTTCTTCTTCTTCTTCTTCTTCTTCTTCTTCTTCTTCTTCTTCTTCCCCTCCTCCTCCTCCTCTACCTCTCCTCTTCTTCTTTCCCTACCAACAACCTGGACTGATGGCTGCAGGTCATAACCAGGAGCAGCCTTCAGGGCTGTCTGCAACTTACGCATTTGTGTCTTGATGGTGGAAATCAAGCCAGAGTGAAGCCCCCAGAAAAGAAGCGGCAGCACACCAGGTTGTTTTTCTTGTTTACTCCACTCAGTCCACTGAGAATTTGGAGACTCAAAGAAACTGGGCAGTTGACAACTTTCCTCGTACATGTATCTGCTTCCTCTTTGTGTGCTTGCTTCTTTTTCTTTTTTTTTCTGTACGTCTGTTGAAAGGCAATCCACGATGCAGACCCCAAATTTGAATCTCAGGGTCAAAGTTCCAGGCCGAAGGGGCCAAGTCGGCCAAGTTTAGAAAGGTCACAGTCGGGCACCTAAGGAGTCAAGTCCAGCGGGCACCCGGTGAACAGACACATCCCAGAGGCAAAAGTCACATCTGGCAGTCAAAAGTCGCATCCCACAGGCAGGAGTCACATCCCAGAATCAAAAGTCATATCCTGTAGGCAAGGGTCATGACCAACAGGCAAAGGCCATGACAACAGGCGAAGGCCACGTCCCACAGACCCAAAGCAGCAGCACACCAAGGAAATACCCGAAGGTACCAGATCTCACATTCTGAAGCCCGCGGCCTGTTTGCTTCAGAATGTGAGACCCTGTACCGTTGAGTAACAGGCTGCGGGCATGTGGGTACTGGGTCCCAGTCAAGCCAAAGGAAGCAGAAGCTGGGACGATTCAAGGCTCAGTCCATGTCAATATAAGGACTTGCCAGCCACATTTCAGAGATCGCTTATTCCCAAGAAGTGTGGAAGTGATGCTGCCGCGCTTGTGAGCTATCTGCGAGAGGCAAGTGGTGGAGCCCTGGCTGGGCAGAGCGAGGTTGGGGAAGGAAGGCGGCCATACCCGCAGAGCCTGTAGTAGGGAGTAGAGATGAGTGTTCAGAGTCAAGGTCTTCAAGGGGAGAGAGAGAGAGAGAGAGAGAGAGAGAGAGAGAGAGAGAGAGAGAGAGAGAGAGAGAGAGAGAGAGAGCATGCATGAAGAGGACAGAGAGAAAGAAGTGAGGCAGAGAGAGAGGCGAGAGAGTGAGGATGCTGGATATGGATTGCTGAACTCTGTCCTGTTGAGCGCTTGGTGAGTGGAACTCCGAACCTGTTCTTTTTTCTTTCCTTTTTTTTTTTTTTTTTTTTCCTTCACAAAAAACAGAACCTTATGGTTCTGGCTCGTTTTCGATTCTGGGGAGCATCAGTCCGGTTCCTATTCCACCGGCAAGTCAAAATCAATACATATGGGACTCGCACACGTTCTTCCCCTTTACGGTAGAAAAGCCCAAGGGACGGCATTGATTACTTCCTGCCAGAAGGATGTACCTCCCCTCACCCCTGCCTAAGTTATCCTGGCCTACTCTACTTTTTTATCGGATTTGGTTGCTGCGTTCCTTACTCTGAAACTGGAGACTTTCCCTCTAGTTTACACCTTTTTAGGTCTGTACCCCCCATGGACTGGAAGACAGCATTTTTTGAGACCGTGAAAAGAAAAGGGGGGTTTGTGTCTAAATGGAGGCCGGGGCTTGTGGGATTTGGGCTGGTCTGGTTAGGGGCTTAGGTGTTGGTCTGGGGCGATGGGTCCGGAGCTCGGGACGCCTGGTGGCTGGGCGAGGGGAAGGTGTTTGCTGGGGTGCGTATTTATGAGTGTGCTTGTTCCTGCTTACCTGAGGATCTGGTTCCTCATGTGCGCGGGGTGTGTTTCTGAGGTTGAGGTGTTTGGGTGGACGGAGGCTTTGGCGCGGGGGGGTAGAAGGCGGTGTGAGAGATGGGCTATGTGAGGTGGATGTGGTGGTTGTTGGAGGGATTGTAAGGGGTGGGCGGTGGACGTTTGGTTAGGGTAAGTTGGAGATGGGGTTAGTGGTTATATTAGGAGGGTGGGATTGGAGTTATTGCATGAAAGGGGGAGGATTAGCCAGTTTTTGAGGGTCAGTGTGTTGTCTTTGATTGTGCCTAGTTGTCCTGATCCAAGTTTTAGTGACGTGAACTTTTTGATTATTTCAACTTTCGTGGCCGGTGTATTGCGTATTTGTTTTTGGGTTTTTTTCCAATGGACGTGTAATTCTGTTTCTATTATATGTTTTATAGTGATGACAGGTTTCTCGGGGTTGGTGGGGTGATCCTCAAAGGTTTTGTCGCATCTTCTTTTCCACAGTCCCCAAAGGATTCCTTTCCTGATTAGGAAGAAGAAGAATGCTTCAAAGCCTTTGAGACGGGGGTTTTGTTCCACTTCAAGGAAAATAGTGCCGGGGCTTATTGTGATTGACGTACTAGAGAGAATGCTCCAAGCGTACTCTATTCCGTGCCAGAGTTCTCTGGCCTCCGGGCAATCTAAGAAGCAGTGATTTAGTGTTTCTGGGGTCTGTAGATTGCATACTTTACACCAAGAGTCTTGTTCTGATCTGTTCTCTTTACTCCGTCTTCGTGCCAGCCAGTGGTTCATGGGGACTGCCCTGAAAGCTATCAGCCATCTTAGGCTGGCTAGTTTCACTGGCCTACAATAGCGCAGAAGATTGATGGCCATGGTAGGGTTATTTGAGATTCGACTAGTGTGTTCTCTTCTTTTGTCCACCTTGTTTGTAGGGTGTTGGTTATCGAGTTGGTTTTGAAAAGAGAAGGTAGCCTAGTTTTGGCTTGTAGTCGGTTACCTTGTGTATACTTAGTATGGAGGAGATGCTGTTAGGAGTACTCCAGGACCATTCTGTTGGATCTATTTCTAGTTCCTGTATACTTGACTGTGGCTTAAAGACCATGTTTTTGTCTCCTTCGACGACCCTTATTCTTCTCAGAGAGCTTATTATGAATGATGCTTCTGCTCTGCTTTCTTTGTCGAGGTAGCTTGATGGGTTGCCTCTCGTCGAGGGTGAAGATATCACAGCATATCCATTTTTTGTTTTGGGATTCATAGGCTTTGAATTTCAGGACTTCCAATATCATCTCCGTTTCCGTTATTACGGCCCAATCGCCGTCTTGCCATTTCTGTTCCGAACTCAGTAGTCGCCTCCATTCCATTGGAATGCTCTCGATGATCTGATTTATGGATGATTGGAGGTGGTGGGTACCCTTCAGTACTGGCCTCAGGTCTTTCTCTGATTTCCGAGTATTGGAGGTCTCATCCCAAAGGTGTTTAATTTTCCATATTCCATTTTCTACCCAATGACCCCACTTGGCCTCCGTTGTGGAGAGACGGAAAGATTCTCCTTTCTCGTTCTTGATCCAAGTGTTTCCGAAGAGGGGTTGTCTGAGGACTTCGTCTCTTCTTTTGGGACCAATTCTGTTTTCTCGAAATATGTTTCTCCAAATGTGAAGGATATGAGCCCAGTGGGACTTAGGGGGTTCATTATTGTGTGCATCGTCTAGGGGGAGATGTGGATTTTGGTTTCTTTTTCTGTTGGGATGTGGCCAATGCTTGTTGTAGATCCAGAAAAGACCTGACATGTTATTTGGGGATTTGAATGGGGCTAGCTCCCTGATGTGGTTAAGGGCAAGAGGAGCCCAGTAAGTTCTGTCCTAAAGGGAAATTCTCAGGATCCACTTAACTTGGAGGGCTTGGATCTGGCAAGCTGGGTCTAGGAGGCCCAATCCACCTCTGGCTTTGGATTGGGGAATTGTTTGCCAGGACACCTTGTGAATGAAGAGATCGTTGTCGGGGTTGCCTGACCAGAGGAAGGCCGCTGTCCTTTTTCTGATTTGGCTTTGGAAGTCTTCTGATGGGAACCATGTGGAGGTAGTGTACCACATCATGGCTAGAAGAGAGCTATTCAGGGCTAGGACTACCCAAAAGCGATGAGTGGACTCCTTTCCACGTGTGTATTCTGTTGATCATGGAGGATAGTAGGTACGCGGCCAATGTGTTATGGTTCCATTTTGCCGTTAACTTAATTCCTAAGAAGCGGGATCGGGGTGGATAGATCTGCCCGGCGCAACCCTTCTGGGATAGTTTTGTGGGAGGGGGGATTTCCGAGAACCACCAGCCAATAGTTTTTGGCCAGTTCAC